AAGATGATTCGAGACACGTGCGCGCGCATAATCCGTCACGTGGTCTCGCGGTCATTATGTTTCAAATCTGCAGTATTTTAACGAGATGAAAATGTAGTTTGAAGCCAAAATCTACAGAAAAAAAGCGATATAATGCAAATAATGAAAGGTCGAAAACTAAATACAAAATTGTATGAAATTCCAATAATTTATACAAAAGTGTACAAGTCAAACAGAAATAACAAAAGAGTGGCACTATTTTTTTTCTCTGTATGTGCAAAAACAAAGACTCATGACAGTTGTAGCTGGGATCAAGATGGCGGGATATTGTCATGCCTTTATGGTAAAGCATTTTATATTTGTAAAACATTTCCCTTGTTCCTCTTGAAATGAAATAATTTGTGTACATGATGAATAATAAATAGAAGTCTGAATATAAGGTTGGAATTGAATAATTTTTATTGAGGGACACAAACGACTAAAGATGTCCACTACAAAAGCAAATGGRTCATGCCTCCAGTAAAGATAGCTAAATATTATCAGACCGATTGGTATAGCACAAATGATTGAGATTCTATGAATGAAATTCGTTTTGAAATTATATCATCCATAAAACTTACGAACACTTCGGAAAATAGAGAGAAATCGGCACGAGTTCTTTATGGAGAAGAAGTGAGATTCAAATCAAGCGAGTTTGTAACATTGTTTATAAAAACAGCCCWATCAAGCTCCATATTTTTAAMAATAATTCCAATAATGTTGAATTTTCTCCAAATATTTTGTCTCTTTGACCTTGCAAATCCGCAAAGAACCGAGCAGTTGAGTTAAACTATAAAGTTATACGACTTGTGGTCCGCCATATTGGATTTTCAAATTTCCACTAAACATTCAGTTTTTGTCGGTTCAAAGCTCTGGTCAAACGCATAAAAGAARAAACCTATTACAATCTATAACTCTTTACCAAACAATTAGCTTAACAAGTTGAAAAATAAACGAACAATACAATGTTGTTTGACAGGTTGTAGTAATGAAAACTCGGCCATTTTGCTTTCATTTGTATCAGTTCCGAKGAAATTAAGTCCACCGGAGATAAGTGATTATGAAAAGAAAAACAAACCTAATGAATCACAAAGAAAAAAGTAGAGTAAAAAAATGCAATTATAACAAAAACGTGGTTCAATATCATAGCGAATGATCCGTGTATATTAAACTTGCTCGAACTGTCAAAATCACCAAGCTCGCCGGAGTTGATATGAACCCTTTGGCGCGCCGAACTTCTTGTTGCTTTGTTGAGATGCTAGCTTAAATTGTTGTTTTAGTGGCTGCACTCTTGTTAAATTAGTATGGAAGGACAGAAATCATGTTTACAGGGAGATTTTGTAGAATTACCTAGATCGTTATGGGCTAAATTTAGTCTTAGTCGGTACATCTATGAGTACTCAGTCGATCCAAGAAATCAGTGGTGGCGCAATAAGATTTATTAGAAAARCAAAATAATACTCAGTACTTAAAATCGGGTAATTAGTCAAAATCAGAAGAAAATACTTCGACAAGTCCTGAGTATTCAAGAAAAACAAATTTTTAAGAAGAACCAGTCTAAAAATAGCCCAAAAACCTAGCGACAAGTTTCAATTACGCTTTTCCATGTCCGAAAAATATATTGCTTTGAATACACTACAAATGTCTTGCTAAACAACGATGTTATATAAGTCTGTGGTCAAAATTAGTCAAAACAAACGAGCATTTACAAGTCAACACAGTCAACACGCGGTAGMCTTCTAATTGTGGTCGAAAATCCCATAGCATAGTCTGTCTTGCTATTAAGGATATTAAACCAAAAGGATAACCCTTTGTCGGTTCCAAAGAAGCCCCAAAGAAATAAGTAAATTTAATCAAACTGCCAYAGTAAGATTATTTTTATTAGGAGTAATTACTTGTCGTAATCGCAATCTACATAATGGCCGACTGATAGATATTGCTAGTCTGAGACCTGCGAATAAAGCGGTGAAAAACAAAGACAGCGAAGAGCAAACAATAAAACTGAGTTCGCGTTAATAGTTTAGCTCATCAACGAAACATCTCTCTTGCGTATCTATTGGATGTTTTCGGTTTTGATATTTCATTTGGTCTATCCCAATAGTTTAGCAAGTCTGRCCACTGTACGGGGGGAGCAATTAGAAGTGAAGCACCTCCGCGATGAGCGACCGGTTTCACAAAGAGTTTGGCTGGATTAATCATGGAATAAACAGAGACAAAGGTATTAAAGACGTTATTTTTGTTTGAACTGGGTTATTGGCGACATCTTGCGACTGTAATTACAAGTTAACGAAAAACAATTGCTTTGACAAGATTGAGATACATACAGGCGTGGCTCACATGTGGATGTTATTACTACAAGGTCATGATATGATGAGTATATGCGAGGGTCGTGTCATCCGTGTGTCTCGAGCGTGTAGTGCGAGGGTGAATTGTACCGTCCACACGTAGAGGATTAGTGCACGACCATAAGGCTATTATCGTTTTTTAAATAAAACTTGGCATGTCCTATCCACAAAAAAACGACCAATAAAAGGTTATTTTTGTAAACTCTTGTCACTAAAAAGAATCGTGTACACGAAGAAAGTCGCACGAGCAACCATTTCCCCACCATCCACAGCGGTGGCTTGCTGTCAACGTCGCTTACTCGGGTATCTTTTAGATACGATAACAATACATCCGAGTGCGTGGTGGTACCGTTGCTCGTTAGAAAAAATTAAAAACACTAGGTCCCACATAGGTTCACGTATATACGGCCGGGATATTCGATGTCACTAGTTTTGTCCAATGAGAACTTCGATTTTTGATGCTCGGTTAGTTACTTTTGTAAGAATGACGGTCCACTATATTCACCAATGATAATCCTCGTTATGTTGTTGTTGATCAGYCAATGATAACACGCGTACGTTATACAGTTGTTGTATACCCAAATCTCGCACAACCTACATTGAACAAAATATCGAACTATTGAAGTAATTGAAATATTGAATGAATCAATGGAATATGAAAGTAACAATTGTGAACAGATAGTATAATACGTACAGAAATAAATTTAACTCAAATGAGGAATAATGATCATCGCAGCGAAATTATAATTATAAGCGAATATTAATAAATGGGTCGCCCGAAAAAAATTCGTGCTTCAACAGTGCAATGCTCTACCAACTGAGCTACTTATGAAGCTAACTATGTTGGCGAGCGGTCATTTCATTGTGTGAAACCATTCATACTTATAGAAATAAATGATGAAACGATGAAACGAGCTGCGGTGTGATAAATACGCAAAAAAGTGATAAAAATTAAGCGATTATTAATTGAAATTCATCGATTGATTGAATTGATTAAATCAATATCTAAAATATGTAAGTTTACGTCACTGAGGACTGTCTATTTAGGAGTGGATACACGGGGTGTCGACAGAGTCATCCATAATAATTAAAAGTCTAAATTTTGTATAAATCGGACACGCCCTAACACCTGACAGCTTGTCAGAAATTGGGAGCCCCCCTCCTTCTCCCTTTGTGGATCCTCCCTTGAATTTTACATGTGGGTGTCCAGGCATTTTCTGCCAGATTAGTGCTGTGACATTTCCAACGGTGGTGATATCGAGAGAGATATGAATGAAGAGCATTTTCAACCACARGCTGTTGTCAAGTTGACATTTGTTGGACCTTGGCCTGCAAAAAGGCCAAGGTAACATATAATTAGATATATTCGGTATACGTTAGCATCGGACTTCCGGAGTGAAATATGCCTGTATTCACACATGCTTATCTGTTTTACCTCAAACCACTCATAAATCGAGTTTATCGATAGCGAATCGATATTGTCAATATAACGTACCTTGTAAACTAGTCTGTCTCAAGGTTGTGAGACAGTTGATGTACCAATTGAATAGCCTTAGGCTAACATATGTCATTGATTGATTGGTAGAGTGATCTGGAAAAGGTAAATTAAGTACAAGTGTTTTGTTTCTTTCAAAGCATTTCTTGACATTCAACAATTTGTCGTGGCGCGTTCAAAGGCCATTACTTTCCAGCCCGACTTTCCAGTTGTTTTAAAGTCTTAACATTTTCTAAGAAAAGAGTGGTATTTTGTTCATAGTCACAAATAAGCTTTTGTAATATCTTAGTCTGCGTTCACACGATCCGGATATTGTCGAAATCACTCATTTTTTCCCATTCTGCTCGACAAATGTTAACTTCCCCATGTATTATGTAAGAATTATATTTGTATGCAGCGAATACGGTCAACATGTCAGTTGTTATACAGCCCAATTGTAATATTGCTAAAATGCATGCAATTCTGCCTRTAGAGATATGTGAAGACTTGAAAAGATCCTTGCTCATTTGTTTTGGGATTCCTGTGTAAGCGCAGAATGATACATTTGGACAGCGGTCTTTCAAGATGGCGGACGGACTCGTTCCTTCTGAGTTGTAACTTAATTTTGGAAAAAAATCTTGACAGTTTAATTGAAAACACTGTGAAAATATGGCAGTGAGTGTCTGGCTGCGAATATTTTTCTATGGCCTCCATGGATTTTTTGACGAGATYGTCTTCACGTCGACTCTGGACTTCATCTCGGGAGGATTCAAAGATTGGACTTTGAAAGGTCATTCTTCGCTGTGGTCCTTCTTTATCTACGGCTTTTGCAGTTATACAGTTGAATGCATGTATCTCTCTTTAAAGAAAAATACCAAAATTCCCATGGCCRTAAGAGGTCTTATTTACGTCGTATGGGTTTACGTATGGGAATTCTCCTGCGGWTATKTTTTGCGCATGTTCAATGCATGTTCGTGGGACTATAGTCACATGAAATGGAACTTACGTGGATTGATAACGTTGCAGTACTTTCCGTTCTGGTATTTGGCTTCACTATACCAGGAAATTTTGACAGATTACTTGATGTCTCTGAATAAGGAAGAGTATTTCTGCGAAGGTTGTGGACGCTCTGCATTTGACAAGCTAAAAGTCAACTGAAGACTTGCTGGATTTTATTGCCTTACTATTTGTCTGCTCAATAGAATTAATTCAACATGATTATAGCTAACATTTGCACAACACASTATTTTACCAATTTTAAAAGCTCTTACTTAGCGAGACACTGATACTATACCAGTGTCTTATCTGACAGAYGTTCATCTCAAGGTCKTAGTAGGTCGGGGCCGTGTTTTCTCAAGGTTGGATAACTTTTAATCCTATATATACATAGATATACTGGGACGGTCGAGATCTGCCACCATAACTTAAGGCGAAAGAAAGAGCAACTAAAGAACTTGCGATACGATGCATTCAACAAATCGTGATAATTTTTAGTGAAAGAATCTTTTTTGTAAAAGAGAATTGARAAATAAAACAACATAGAAAGCATTTAACTATTTGATTTTATTCGAAAGATAATACATAATTTTTAAAATTTCCCTGATTTAAAGCCTACAGAATCATCTTCGCTTAAATCTGCAAAATAAAAAAAGTCGTTTTAATGTTGAAATGCATTGGTAGTGGTCGAGAACGGCACATTCAAGTATGAAAACTCATAACGATTTCGGTTCATTCTTTGAAAAGTTCTTACTTTTTCTTTGATTTGAATTTGCCTTTTCCTTTGGCACCCTTGTGTGTTTGAGGAGCAACCGCTGAATTCTTTGACTTTTTACTTGAAGTAGTCATACTCGAGTCGCTGTGGACAATCAAATAAAAATGCAGTGTCATTTTCGTTTAAATTTAGCATTTTTCTTGTAATAATTGTACCTTGATCTGAATTGCTTCAAAGCCTTTTTACTGATATCGGTAAGTTCTTGATCAAACGATCTTGTTTTGCCAGCTTTAGGTTTTGATTTCTTTGTTTGATCTTAAATACAAAATCAAATAAGTCATTTTATAATATGGATTGAAATCTTTCAAAATCTGTAGCCCCGTCCTGGCACTTGAAGACACACTGTAAACGACCATAAGCAACAGCATCGTCTTCAGTGCCTTCTCTACAGTGCAGCCACTTTTGATATCTTTGATTCCTTATGAGACCAATGAAGATTTTCAACAAGCGCTTGAAAGGTTTAGAATATACATTGTAGATAAGATTCCAATACCTTGTTCAGGACGTTCAGGTGGAAAAGCGGATAGTTTTTTCGGCCTTTTTGACCGCTTAGCTTCTCTTTTGATGAAGTCCATTTCGCGTTGTCTTGATTTTTCTTCTTCCTTTTAAGAAACGAAAAGTAAACACTCATGAACTAAGTACAAGTACRACTGAAAAAATTCAATAAATGGATAACCGAAAWATGGATTAATGAATAAACGTACTGTCATTTTAATTGCTTGGCGTGTCTCCTTTTTAAGCCTCTTTTTCGGTTGACCTTTTTCGTTTCCTGAAAGACAAGAGAATCAAAATCAAATCCACAATCTATTTTTAAGGAAAGTATTTCTAAGAGACTTACCCTTTCTTTTCAAATCGTTTTTATCTTGAAACCAAACTCTTGCAGGTCGAGAATATATTTCTTTTTCATGATCCAGTAGATTTTTAGCTTTGTTCATCTCCATCTCGGAAATACGCATCTTAAAGATAAACAAAATTWGAAAGCCTGTCACTTTCTTTGCTGACAGATAAATATATGAATTATTCTWTTAACATTAGAAGACAAAAATATAATAATTAATAACCTCTTTTTCTTCATTTTCCTGCTTTAATATATCTTTAATATCAGCCTCCAATGCTTCAACTTTTGAAGAATATTTCTCTATAACTTCTGAAAGTGATAAAAACGACGTATTTTTCTTTGAAAACAAGCTATTTTCTCGTGTTTTCTTGTTCAACTTTATTTCATTGAAAAATAAAGTCGTTAAAAATAATCCGAGGTACTGTAAAACTTTTATTTAGGAAACCCATTCAAATACTGTGAAAGTGAAGCATCAAACCAGTACCTTTGGTTGTGATTGGCCGACATTTTAGACAGTTATCAATCAATCAGTTTGGAGAAGCAATTTCATTGGTTGAAAACTGTAGAAAGCCAGCAAAATGCCACATTTCCAAAATAGTTTCAATTTTTCAATGCGCGTGTTTGCACAAGGGCAAAAGTTGAATATTTGCTCAAACCTGGTGGAATTATTCTACTTTTAACTTGAGTCCTCGAGTTTTTAACCACTTCTTTCAAAGATTTTCTCTCTTTCTCTCCAACAAGTGTGACGGACCTAACAAAAAAGGGAGAATTTCCCAGTTTTTTAGTGTAAACTTTCAAGAAGCGACCAAGCAAAGCTACCTTCCACTTTTGCCTGCTCTAGCTGTTCTTCCAACGCGATGCACGTACTGTTTAACGTTCGTTGGCATGGAAAAGTTGATAACCTTGAAACAGATAAATTATAATGTTAATCTTTTGAAACAGAATTCACAGAAGAACAGTTCAAAGTACCGTTTTTACGCCAGTAATGTCAAGACCTCTTGCTGCAAGATCAGTGCACACGAGGAAGTCTACCTCGCCATCTTTGAACTTTCTTAAAGATTCTAACCTCTAAATGGTAAAACAAAACAATTCAAATGTGCAAAATGAAGGTTTAAGAAGGAGTGCAATACAAAAGAACTGGAGACGGCAAAAACCCTCGTCCGCATTTATAGAAATTGACAWTTTTTTATGAAGAGGAAGAGCAACATCACCAAAAATCCTTGAAACTCAACTTCAACGAAAACTGGCAAAAACATGTCAGGTCTAAAAGTTTAAAACTATTAATAACATCTAACGTATCCTCGAAAGAAAAMAAATCAAGAAAAAGACAAGTCTAAGGTAAGAATTAATAAAAAAAGATCAAGTTTTTGAATTGGTTATATTTGACTGAAAAAACAACAAAATATTTAACAATATTTTTATGCGCCAATCTCACTTGTAATTGCGTAAGATTTCCATGTAATTCTTCAACATTTAATCCAAGTAATCCTAAAATTATTCTGAGTTTATGGGCCATCCATTTGGTTTGGGCAAATACCAGACAATGGTCACTGAATGTCCTGCTGCACAAAGCTGGAGAGAAACACATAAAAATAAGTAAATTTAGGGTAACTCTGATTTGTTCTCGCTTACAATATGTGAGAGGAGTAAGCTGGAAAGTGATTCTAACATCACTGATAGACTAGCAACCATCCAGGCGAAGTAATGTTCCTAGTTACTCTGAACAACAGAATCTTGAGTTAAACACCCCACATGACTAATCTTTAATGCCATCTAGAGCAAGTGTCATTAAAGGAACATGGTCCACCAGCATCCCTTTCGAGATTTTGATCATGTTTTAAAGTAAAAATACATCGGAATATAACCAAAAACTTTGTCTTTATTATCCCTTTATACTATATGAATGGAGATACTGCAAGATTCGACCTTTAAGGATGGAAATGGATTGCGCATGGATATTCAAAGTAACCTCATTTTCCATATATGAAAAATCGAAAACTTGACCACATTGAATGCTGGTGGACAGTGTCCCTTTAAGATTGGCATTCATGATTTTTAAATCATATAATGTTTTAACTGCTTTACTAATACTTGTACCTGTGACAATAGCTAAACGGTCATCCTCTCTGTTTTGTCTTATCCTAATAAACTCTTGTGTTAAATTGTATGCAACATCAGTATTGCTGTCGACAAAAAGTCTGATTGGCTGGTTTAGTGACAATGACACTAGCTCTTCAACCTGAAACAAAAGAAATTTAAGTTTAAAAATCTGCATCTACAAAATATATTTCAAATAATTTGTTTCTGAGCTTTCAAACAATAATGAAATAAAGTGCACTTATTAAGTAGATTTGACGCTTGAGCACATATCATTGGATTATTCTTTAATCTTTTCTTGCTTACTCATGCAGTAGTGATAATGAAAAGAGACTGCATGCATCAAATCTAATGTATGATGTACTCTGTTTTAAAGGCAAGATTGCCTGCCTTCACTATAAAGAATACATCAATCTATGTTGCATTTCTCCCTTCTCAAGCTGCTTATCAAACAAACAGCTCGTACACATGAAATGCAGAGGATTAACAACAAGAATTAATGAAATCTTAATATACTAAGAATGCTAGATTCTAACTCACATATAGCATTGTATTCAGTGCAAAGGAATAATTCCTTTGCCATGAAAATAAAATTGTATTGAGCAATAACATAAAGACGAGAMTTTATTGTCACTTCATTTGGCTATACTTTTTTAAAATTTCTCACACCTCATCAGTCATGGTAGCAGAGAACAGCATTGTTTGTCTTCCTCTGTTGCTCAGTTTAATGATTTCATCCATTTGGTCTTTGAAATGTTCATCAAGCATACGATCAGCTTCATCAAGGACAAGAATTTCCACTGCTTGAAGATCAAATGTTGGTGTATTATGTAAGTGATCCACAAGTCGTCCTGGTGTTGCTACAATGATGTCAGGCCTATTTCGCAGGGCTGCTTCTTGAGTCTTCAAGTCAAGTCCACCTGGGAGATTTGAAATATACCACAAAATCAGATGTAATTGCTATTTATTCATATCACACAGTGTACCAGTTTTGTCCAAAGACCAAGTCAAACGAATTTAAAATTAATAATGTACATCTAGTAAAATAAATTAAYAATGAATTGTATGGAGTAAGGAGTTAGTGAGGCAGTCAGTTTGTACTAGCATAAATCCTCGGAAAATYTTTTACAATTCACAGGACCCTCCCAAGTGATCAGAGAGGTTCAATSTTGTGTTGATATGTCTGATCAGGTGAGATACATGTAACTACATGCTTGTATATGTATATGTTTTAATGATTATGAATCTCTTACCKGCAGCTAGGCAAACAGTGATGTTTGTGTGTTTTGCAAGCTTTAAAGAAACTGAATGAATCTGTAAAATCATAGATAAAAAAAATGTATCAACTTCAGTTCATTTAAAAATGATACAAAATGTCTTTGATAAATAACTAAAATTTATTAAAGGTACAGTAAATAATGCAAAAATCATTAACTGTCTCTACCTGTATTGCTAACTCTCTTGTAGGTGTAAGAACAAGGACTCGTGACACAGAATTCTGCAATGGCTTGTATAGAAGTCTTTCAAGAATTGGTAACATGAATGCTGCTGTCTTTCCTGTAATGTGGTATGTTGAAGTTAGTAGAAAATATGTAGTTCAATGAATACATTCTTCATAATTGCCACTTCTGGCAATACATATACTGTACATGAGTACAAAAGTACATGTAAGTAGAGAACAAAAAGGTGTTTTTTGTATCCTGTTATCACTTTATTCACTGATATCACTGACTATACAAAATTACTTTTTCAATACTGAACATTACATTTATTTGTACACTTTGTATACTGTTCACTTTGTTCATGAAAGATAATTCTACATATTCCACATAATATTATGTTCATGTACATGTATAAATATACAATGTATATGGAAAATGTTTATGCATGTTTTATTATTTCTTTTTGCTTACCAATTCATTGATTCATTCCTTTGCCAACTAATTCAGAATGTTAGTTTGGCAATTACAAATTAAAATTTCAATGGCCTGATTATATTGAAGTAAGTTTTAATATTGTTTTTTTATTTCTTTACTGATTCATTCCTTTGCCAACTAATTCAGAATGTTTATTTTGACAATTACAAATTAAAATTCCAATGAGTCTAAAATTTACTAAATCATCCAACATTACTGAGTGAAATGTATGGTATATCCTGTGTCAAAGGCAAGATTTGGCCTGCCTTCTCTATAGAGAATACACCATTTAATGTTGCATTTCTCCCTTCTCAAGCTGCTTATCAAACAAACAGCTCGTACACATGAAATGCAAAGAATGAGATGGTCCATCAGAAACTTAAAGTTTAACATCTTTTACCATGACATTTAAGACACCAATACTATAGTGCCTGTTTGAGTGTACTGAATTCTTTATCATAAAAAATGATGTCATTCATCTCTAACAATAAAACAAACATTTTATTGGTTGTAATGTGTGCTAAACAACACACTCAAAAGCATTTGTATGAATTTCCACTGGCATATAAGACTGTAGGCACATTCATTACCTGTTCCAGTGGCTGCACATGCACACACATCTTTACCCATTAAAGCCACAGGAATGGTTGATGCCTGGATTGGAGTAGGATGAAGAAAACCCAACTCAGTGATAGCCTAAAAAGGGAAACAAAAAGATGATGTCATCTTTTTGTTCATATATGTACATGTATCACATTTGTTGGAAAAATTATGCGCATTCATTCAACGTGCAAAAAAAAGCTTTGTTATTACATATTTTTCATCTTGTGATTCAAAACTATTTTCATGTTCTACAATCCCTCATGTTTTTAAGTGAAAATGGAAACACAGAAAATGTGTTATTATTTAGTCATAAAAGATCTCACCTTTAGCAGTGGTCTAGATAAGTTCATTGTAGCGAAGCTTTGGTGATGCACTTGGGGTGGTGGTTCCAAGAAGAAACTGTTCTTTTCTTTTAACTAAGATATGTACAATTATTAAATATTTACCATAACATTGAATGTACTTAATACAAATATCATAAAGCAATTATTTCAAAATGGTAACTTGAAGAGTTGCTTTGCACTTTATGAACACAATGGAATGAAATAAAGCACCGCACAAAGCTACTGTCTGTACATTTATATGAACTTGGAATGGTTAAATTTATGTTGACATAATGGATAACCCACAATACTGTTATATATGTCAAATGCTACCATCAAAAAAATTTTAATGGATTTTGACATTTTGTTCAAAGCTTTGTAAGTTTTTTTTGTAACGATTAATGCTATTTCAATTGACATTTTGATTGATTGTACCTTGTCTTCTAATTCATCATCTGAGCTATCTTCAAGTGCATCCATTTCAACTTCTTTTTTTGAGGGTCTTGCTGTAAAYAATATTGAGAAATGACTTAAAAAAGTGAATCCTAGGAAGATGAGCTAGGATCAGAAAGATATTAATCCCATCTTATAGTTAAGTATCTAATAGAAGCTGCCTTGTTTTTCTGTAGAAGTCACTTGCAAGTGACTTTAGAAAAGTTACACAATAGGACATACTGGTATGTTATATTATAAGATGGGTTATGGCAAATACTCTGAAGTTCCGAATAATCGTATATATACGCTTATTTATTTTGGCAAAATATTCCACTCYATACGGCCTTATTTGGGACTGTACGATTATTAATTTTCACAATTTTTTTCTCTGTGCCTACCTTAATTAGTTATTAACAATATCGTGAGAAAAAAAATTGAAAAAAGTTGCCAAAAAGACAGACTTTTTGTCTCTAAAACGAAAACAAAACCGCGAACGAACAGCAAACTAAGAGCACAAATCATCTGGTCAGCGGATTTGATCACAGGGGAAACTGGGGAGAAGTCAGCGGTTTTGCCAAAAAAATGCGGGAAAACTGCCAGTACTGCCGTTTTTTTCAAGACTTTCACCCTATACTATTATTCCGATCTATACTATTATTGGTAAATTTGTATTTTTCCACTCTATACTATTATTATGCTCTATATGATTATTCGGAACTTCAGAGTATGTGCATAACAATGTTAATGATGTACAAAGATACCGTTTCCATTTTCATCTGTTATTTTTTCAGGTTCCATTTCTTCATTTTTATCATTTTCATCATCATCTGCCGTACTCTTTTTCTAGGTACAAACAATTATTCGCTTGTGAGAATACATGTATAATGATAA